AGTTGATCTGATCCCAACACTGGCTACCAAACATATTATACCAACTCCTAATATATATATATACTCCAAATGAAGCAGTAATAATAATATAATCTGCAGAAAAAAAAAAACTAAATTACAAAAATACCAACAGGCATTTTTTTTTATTTTATGTTTTATCTTTGTGCTGCAAAAGCCTTCTCTTTTATGGAGTTTTCCATTAGTAAACCTGTAATCAAAAGCCAAACCCCATTAGTTTAGTTTATTTAAGAAAGTTCAGAAAAATGGAGGTTACTTAATTTTATTTTATTTTTTAACTATCATTTGAGATCCCACAGCCATAAATGGCAGTAAATTAAAAAAATTTCTGTTATTAATCCAAGAATCAACTGACAAGACGCCCCCAATTTAATACACCTTCTGGAATTCAAAAGGGCAGTTTTAATTTCTGACAAACACTAAATCAAAGGCATGAAAAATGGACCCAAAAATGGAGGCAGAATTCTTGAATATTTATTTTATGTAAGAAAAAAAGGTGTGGAATTTGCATAAAAACCCAATAATAGAAGCAAAATTCTTCTATTTTAGCTCTTTTTGAACAGTTTTGTCCCGGTCCCGATTGATACCGATCCATTTTGGGACAGTGTCTCATCCTGGACCGTTCTCGGACCGGTTAAAAAAAGGGGACAGGTACCGGAATAGGTCAAATTCCGGACCGTCTCGAGTCCGCGCCCACCCCTAATTTTTATTATTTTAGCTTTAAATTGAAAACATGAAACAGGGGAGCCAACCAAGAAAAGGGCAGCTTTGAAATTGAAATTTAAAAAAAAAAAAACATGGGAGTGATAAAAAAGTAATCTTGACTCACTTTCAGCACTGCAATCAGGTGGGTTCTCAAATACAGACAAGGACAACTGCTTATGTGCAACGCCGATGTCGATGAGTATAAGGCCGGAACCCGGTTCGCCGACGATTATATCCTTGACCGGAAGCCAAAGAAAGAGCTCCTCTTGCGAAAGCCCCTCGACGCCCGTGAGGCTTCCGTAGGTGAGGTTGGCCCGAACCTCGCTTTCGTAAAATGCCATCGTGTCGAATTTTGTGAGGCACGGCCCGTCGAGGAAGACCTCGAGAAGGCCCGAGCCCGAGAAGCGGTAGGACCGGACGTCGCGCGGGAGGAGTCCCGCCGGAAGGCCCATGGATCGGAGTAGGTCGTGGATGGAGGAGGCGGCGAGGGGAAGAGAGGGAGAGAGTGTAAGGAAGAGGAGGAGGATGAGGAGAGAGAAAGTGGTGTTGGGGTTTTGTAAGGAAGCCATGAGAGAGAGGAAGGAGAAGAAAAAAGGGTAATGGTTTGAGTAAAAAATGGAAGGGGGGAAATGGGTTTTGATTAGAGGGATTTGTGAGGGGGTTTAAGGGAGTGGTTTAGGGGTAAAAGGGAGTGTGTTGGTGAGGGAGTTTGAGAAATAAGTTAAAAGAAACAAAAAATTTATATGCAACACCACCACTCGTTCAGAGTGTATTTGTTATATCACACGTGTCAATATATTATTTATGAATATTTATAGATGGTTCTACAAGTCGAGTCGTGTGATTCCATAAATCTATAGCAAAACCGGTAAAAGAAGGTGTGTGCTTAAAAAAGGGGCTTTGAGTTGGTTTTGCTTATTTGCCCTTGGGTTGGGTGTGAATGGTTGGTTTTGCTTTGGTGCACAATTATAATAGGCAAATGGATGGGAGTTAGGAGAGAGTAATGGACCCAAATTGGACCATAGTTTGAGTGGATTGAACCAAACACGATGTTTGTGTATTGTACGAGTGTTATTTTTTATTTGGTTGGTAGTTATGTTTAATTGTTTCTAACATCATGATAGTACAATACTCGTGTAATTTTTATTCAGTTGGTGGTTATGTTTAATTGTTTTAAACATCATGCTACTACAATACTCGCGTACTACACGAGTATTTTGATACTTAAGTACAACAACAAAAAAAACACAAGCTCCTGTTAAATTGTAAACAATAGATATACAACAAATAATAAATACTAATAAAGTGATATCATTCAACATGAAAAACATTTTTACACTGTTTTTCGAAAATGATAATTTTTTAGTTACATTCATAAAATTATATGTGTCTAAAATAAGTATTATCCGTAATACAATAAATTTAGTTTCAATTTTTTTAATTATTTAAAAGTCTTATTGCATTGTAATTATATTTCATATAGTTTCAGTTTATAAAGTTGGTCTTGCTGACACAATAAATTTTCAAGTATTTTAAATTTATAACATATGATGATTTAAAATATAAATTAGTATACACAAATGTTATATTTTATAACTTTATAAAATAAAGAAATAATTTTATTATATTTTGATATGATATTCATTCGTATTTTATATTTTCAACATCAAAAGTTAAAATAATCAATATATTTTTTACGTCTGGCCATATTATTGTTTTTTTATATTTTCTAATATTCATTTTTTGATAATACAAAATTTATATTTATAAACTAAATTACAATGTTATTTGATATTTCGCAATTTAGTGTGATAAACAAATTTAAGTTTTATTTGTAAATACATGTGTTGATGTACAAAAATGTCAACAATAATAAAATGAACTGTATGGTTCTTTGCGTAGTCAGCTCAGCAGAAACGAGTAAGGGGATTTTATGATTTTAACCGAATATTAGGAATCCTTTTCGGTTTTGTTTTTATATTTGTCATTAATGAGAAAACTATTCTTTTACGTTAAATGCTAACTCTCCTTCCTTTTATAAGAAATTTGAGGTCTTGTTACAATTCTAATTTGAGATTTTTATTCGCATTTTTATATTAGAAATATTATAAGGATATTATGGCACATCATCATTAAATGCTTACTACAGGATTAATCGCGATGCGGGTAAGGACTTTGCTTGCAACACGTGTCCTGATAGACTTCCCATCGTCGGATCGTGAGGCTTTGTCTCGTCATCATCAATGGATATCGTACGGATAATCCATTGATATGATTTGCATTATTCAAACATCTGTCGATGTTCATTCGTCCAAACTCATCATGGTAACCCGTATTCGTTTCTCGTGTTCGAACTGTTCATTCTCTTCGCTCATTGGTAAATACAAACTTGAACGAATCACTTCAATTTGGTGCGGATTCCAGCAATTCGGTTGACACCCCGTACAACATAAAATTATCTTCATGTTATATATGCAATATGAATGTTAACTGAAAAAAAAAAAACCTTAAAAGATGATTAATTTGATATAACATGTGTAAAATAAAATATAAATAAAAAAAATTAAACTCTTAAAATAAGAATACTGCATATTTTATAATAGCCAATATATGAATTAACAAGAAAATAAAATGTAATATATGGTAATTAAAGAAATGAAATGAAGTATATAGTATGTAAGAAAAAGAAAGATAAACTTATTTTTCTCATAATTTCCAAACCTTGTAGTTAAACCAGAGTGTATATGTGTCAATACGAAGCATAAATTTACGCCAAATAAGCTTTTGAAGCATACACGGGAGCATGTCACACACGTTTGACACATTTCGAATTAATATGATGGGGGGATTTGATCTTTTAATAATAATGTTAAATCTTCTTTCGTACTTCTTTTAGCATACAATGAATTTATAATATTTAGATTACAGTGTTTACATTTGTTTTTTTTAAATAAAAAAAAAAAAAAAAAATTACTTCTACTGACTAAAGTTAAATGCTTTTTGTTTTTTGTACTCGAATTTCCAACTTAATAAATGTTAATCATAATGTTTAAAAAATAAATAACTTTTAATCTAAAGCAATTAAAATATATAAGAAAATAGAATAATTTATAATAGTCTTTCAAAATAATAAAATTTAATATGACAGTAAATTTTTTAGAACAACTTTAGTGGTTGAATATTATATATTGAACAAATACGTAAAACTATAGTCTTTTCTTCCTTTCTGTACAACGAGAAATAAATATAAGTTGACTAACAAGTTGATCGATTAACCTAAGAATTCTAGACACTTGGACTTCCTTATTCTTTTGTATGATCATGTGGTTCATTTGGACAAAGAGGAATAGTGCAAAACAATTTGCATGATATTGCACATACTCAGGCCATGCACTTAATATTCCCTTTAGTCATTTCGTCCTCGTGTTGTTGCTTGGGTGAGACCCTGTTTGCTGTGGGTCAAGCTTAAACGTTGATGGTTCATTTGACAGACACACAGAGCTTCCAGAATATGAGGTATGATTTGGGACCACAACAAAGAGTTCATCGGTGCTTTCCGCACACCCTTTAATGCATCATGAAGATACGACGCTGAGATTCAAGAACTTTAGATTGACCTTCAAATTGTTGCACACTTCTCCACACACGTTAGGGTAGAGCTGGATGTTGCTGCCATCACCACCTTTCCGACTTCGAGTCATTGGGGCTCATAGTAGATCCAATACCCTGCTCATGTGCATCATATCCATACTTTGGTCGGTTCATCACAGGACCACACACATTTTTCATGAAAAAAACCAACCTGCCGATTTTCATACTAAACTTGACGCTACCATCCCTGAGAGGCGCACCTTCCAGACTGACACCACAACACTCCGCCTATGTACACTGGTGCTAAGGATCAACTTGACTATCTATCTTTCCACTTTCACTAAATTAAGTTTGCTTTTTAGTTTTTTTTTATTCAACTTTATTGGTGCATATTGTATTTCTTGACACTTGCTAGCCCAAAGTCAAACATTTAGTTTTGTGTGTGTGTATTTTTTTTTTTTTTGGAGATACTCTGTAGATTGATTATGTTTCTACCTCGATTGATGATTTAATCTATGCACAAGTTGGAGATCCAACTTAATCCCCCGTCCTTCCCGGACCTTTTTTTTGGCGGCCGGATTAGATTGATCTATCGAGGAAACCGAACTTTTCTGGGTTCGAAGAGCAATTCGAAGACTCCGTGCACATTATTCGTAATTTCAAACCACTATTATGTTAGAACTTAGAATTTATTATGTTATAAATTAGAATTGATTATTTTATAAATTTATTATTATTATTATTATATAATTTAGAAATTATTATATTATAACTTGTAATTGATTATCTTGTAAAATTAACTTTACATTATTCAAAATTTAATTAGTATTATAAATAAATTTTTATTTCTGGAGAAAAGGTATTATTTTAAAATATAACTATAAATCTTTGTATTATTTAATGTATATATTTGTTAGTAGACAATAGTTATAGGTGTTCTAGTATTTTTTTCACAGATAATTAGTATTTTGTTACAGATAATTAGTACTATATATATAATTACTAGCTGATGCATTTAATAAAACATTTAATAAAAGGAGTTACATTTTTTTAATTATTTACTCACTAATCTGCTAAAGCCGTTATACCTTTTATTATTTATTTTTTGGATCAGTTACTAAATTAATTCTAAATTTGGTAGCAAAATATTCAAATGTGTAACGGCTAATGTTGGAACTTAAAATTGATTGGCACATTCAGAGTTGTAACTGCTATATTTGGTTTCATTGTTAAAAGAAAAATACGGTTGACACATATTTTTTTTCTAAAAATCAGAAAACACCAATAATTTTTTTATTTATGTTAATTTTCTTAATATATGCGTTGTAAGTATTTTTACCAGAGTAGAATCGAAAAATTCGAACACCGGGTCGTATCTCAAGGAAGGTTGACCGAAATATTTTGCACGTATATTCGATCACACGAAAAGAGAAAACAAGTCCTAAACACTCTAATTCGATTGTTTTGAGTTTCAACTAACAGCTAATAATTCGCAGACTAGTAATTCGAAAATTCAATAGCAAACAAATAAACTTGATTATAAAGAGTTAGGGAGTCGCGGACAATCGTTTTCAGTTCTTGACCCAATTACCGGGCAATCGTTTGCTCGGTTAAAGGGTTTGAGTTGCCTACTCGTATGGAGGCTCACCTTCAATAACTCTTCGTAACAAGAAGGTGAACATAAACGAGCAACTCATCAAACCCAACAATGCATAGACAATACAATAACGAACAAGTCTATTCCAAACGAGCCTAAATCGACCGACGTCTCCCCTCTCGGTTCTCAACGTCGATTAATTAGGTTAGAATGGTGATAAACCAACTAACCCTATAATACGCACAACTCGCATAGATTGAGCAATTATCAAGCACATAATCGAAAATGAACCGAAACAATCATCGCATATCTCTAACATATGGAATTAGCCACTCATTGCAATTTCAACACAAGAATTCACAATCAAACAAGCCATCATAT